TGTGTGGGATTCATGATAATTAGAGCTTTTTGTCATGCATATAGAAATCAAGAAGTGATTATCCAAACTTAAAGATTCCTGTTCTGAAAATAGAAAGTACTTCTTAAGATTTGTCTGACAGTCTACCACAGTTTATGGAATTTTTAGGGCATACTACAGGAGGGAGATGGTTCCAAACCTGAGAAGCTATAAAATCTCCTCACGTCAACCCTGACTCTTAGAATTGTGGCTGAGAGAAATGTTTGGATAAGGAGCCAACAAACACTTTTCTAACTATCTCTTAATTTAGCCTGTAGATAATTTGCCTGTGACTTTGTTTTTTTTTTTTTCCCCTTTATCATTCTTTTTTTTTTTTTTTTTGCCTGTGACTTTGAAAAGGAACTATGAATCTCTATTATTAGTATTACTCACATACTCAGGAAAGGTTCATCTGCAGCAGAAGACAGGTAAACTGAGTATACAGCTCTGTCCCTGAGAGATTATTCAAGTAAGAAGATCACTCCTCCCTTATATTGTCATGTATCATTTATGGTTGAGACACTAATTGCAAATTTCCTGTGAGGTGCTTTTTTCCTATAAGAAGCAGATTTCCCCTTTTTCTTCTCTTCATTCAGAAGTTACTTGGGAACTGTAAAATAATTAAGATGATTAAAAGTGGGGCCAGCCACCAGCAACCCCTTGGGATTCCTCATCATAAATAGAATTCAAGGCGGCTTCCTTTCAGCTGCTGCTAGAACCAGAGGCATTTACTCTAATTGTCAAGTGTTTATTAACTTATTTGTCCTTTGAACTACTCCTCAAACATTTGCTGAGCACAAATGTTGTAGGAGGGTAGCAGGCAAGTCCAGCATCTGAGCAGCACACCGAGTGGCCCTCTGCACGAGCAGATGATTAGGAAGGAGCTAGGCCAAGGAAGCAGGGAACCCAGTGGAGCCCTGACATGGTCATGACCTGAAACATCTGTCCAAACATGGGGGATGGTGTTGGCAGGAGTAACAAACTAAAACCCAGGAGTGGGATTCAAGGGGTGAGATGGAGCCCCCAGATGCAAGCGGCTGAAACAGCTTGCAGATACTGTATTGAAAGATGCTGGATACACATCCTCCTGCTTCCTCCAGTATGAGTCCTGATTCCAGATTTCTTCAGGAACCCTGACAGAACCCTGACAGCTGCTGAGAGTAAAAATGATTTAGGGTGGAGAAGACAACCCCCACCCAGGGGGCAACAACTGTAAAGTTGTCTCAGTGACTCTGGGGTGACACTTGAAGGTGGCTGGAAGGATGACCCCCATTTTTTGTTGATTTTAAAAGTATTAGGAAACTGATTTAGAGAGCAGTGGGCTGTCTTGCTTAGAATATGCACCCCACTTTGCTGATTCTTGGTCTTCAGAGTGCCCCTGACCTGTGTGACTTCCCTGACCTGCTGCCTGGTGCTGGTGAACTTTTTTTGGATCTTTGAACCTCCACCTTCCACCTCACTTACATCTTTCCCCCAACAAGTGTTTCTTCAGCATGTATTGCATACAGAATCCTCCTCAGAAGAGAGATAGCTTGTTAAGTATTCGGAGTCCTGATCTCTAGAAAAATAAAGTAGGACACAGTGCATCACTCCAGTGGCATAACTTTCTCTGGCTTCCTAACAGAAGCCAGCTGCTGGGTTTATGATCCTGCAGTGAAGCCATATGGATGAATGGGGAGGGGGAGGGGCACATACATAAATTTGGAAAGCACTTTGAAGTCACCCAGCTGTCATCATTCCTATTTTTTAATCACCAGCTGTATCGGAATCATTATTTTTTCCAACTTCAAAGTGGAAGCGCTGCAATGTTCCTGCTCCTACCACGAACGCTGACTGGCTCTCACCAATGATGACTTAACCAGTCCACCGAATGAGGTTGAAATGCAAGCAACTCACATTAAACTGCTTTCTTTTTAAGGGGCTCATTTGGAAATTTGCTCAGTGTGCCTTAGCATCTATTGTATTTTCATTTGAAATAAGAGGCCCCAATGAGTGTACTGCTTAGCAATGGAGAATGAGATCATTTGAAACCTGAAATAAAATCTATTTGTCAAAAGCACAGATGGGGGTGATGCAGATGATGCGTGCAGCATCTGAAACATCGAAGGGGGACAGAATCAGTGATTCTGCTCTTCCCTCTTGCCCTTCACCATTGTGTCCAAAGAGACTGACTGTCTGCCTCCCTCTCGTGGACACTCCTGGACTCAGAGCAAAGAAGTTGCCCTTAAGACTCTGTCTTAGGGGCCTCTCCGGTGGCACAGCAGGTTGAGCACAGTGCTGTGAAGCTGTCCACAGCCTCTGCAGCTCAGGTTTGATTCCCAGCCGACCAGGGAGATACCCACATGGTGCAGCAGACCTCTCCTATTTCACCCACTGCAGCCCTCAGCAGTGTTTTCAGTCGTCTGCCTGTTCTGGTCCCTGCTCTGTCTTTAGTGAATTCTCTCACCCTCCCATGTCTCTGGCCTATACTCCAGTTCTTGTATAAATAAATAAATCTTTAAAAAAAAAAAAAAAGACTGTTTTAGGAGCTTGGCAGTCATAACAAAGCACCACAACAGAAGTCTGTCACCTCGCCCCCCCCTTCCCATCATAGAGGCTTGGAGTCCTAGATGCAGGTGTCTGCCGGGCTGGTTTCTCCTGAGGTCTCTCTCCTTGGTGCATAGACAGACATCTCCTCCCCATGTCTTCCCATGGGCTTCCTCTGTGTCTGTACCCTAATCTCTTCTTCTGAGGACAGCGGTCACTTGGAATTAGGGCCTGATGGCCAGGACAGTCGTCACTTGGAATTAAGGCCTAATGACCTCCATTTAACTCAGTCATGTTAAAGACCACATCTCCAGTACAGTCACATTCTGAAGTTCTGGCAGCCAGGACTTCAGCATATGAGTTTTGTCAGAACACAGCTCAACCATAACAGGGAGATAAGCGGGGGTCTAGACTCTACTAAAAGGTGTGTGTTTAGGGCGCTGATGCCCTAGATCTCTGCCTAGGCTTAGACCCTAGCAGTGGCTGCTTGCTGCCTGTGCTCTGCACAGCACACAGCATCTGGGCTCTCTTCCCTCAGCTAAGGTCGTGTGTGGGTTACAACAGTGCTTGAGTGCTTATGTCTACTTCACTCTTTTAAGCCCACTGTAGCCTCACAAGATGAGCCCTGTTGTTGTTGTCTCCTCTGTACAGAAAGCCAACTGAAGCACAGAAGCTACATTGCTGGTCCCCAGGGATAGCTGTGAGCAGGGCCTAGGACCAAGTCAACCCGACAGCCTGATATCCCCTGAGTTCAGCCCCATGCATATCCCCACACACCTGCTGGGTCAGTGTGCCTGGTCAGTGTCCAAGGTGTTCCAGGCATGTTAGGATACTTGGCCACCCTAGATGCTACTTTTGAAACTTACCTAGGAATACATATTAACCCTTCCCCTGCAGCACCCTCTCTTCCTGTAGTATGTCCTGGTGTATACAAGCTCACTTCTACATTCAGTCCATTCTCACTGTTGGCAGATTCCATACTTTCAGATCCACCTACTTGCTACAATTATTTTTAAATCTCAAATCAGTACTTAAATGAGTACTGTAGTCATGGGTGAGTGACTAAATTTTGAGTCTCTTAACAGGTAGGTTCCCAGCTGATGCCAAATATGGTGACTCTGCCTTCTTGTTGAGCTCAGACTATAAGTAGTCTCCATCACATAATCTATTTGGTGCCCCATTGTTCCCCATCCTTATACTTTTTGTTGGTGATCTCACTGTTTCAAGTATCCCCATGTGTGGTGCTGATGTGGACAGCACCCAATGCCTGCTCCCTCCCACAGCCCAAGTGACATGCTTCTGACACATGGAACTACAGGAGGCCAGGGACCTTCACAGTATCCAGTAGGTTAAGTGAGTCAAAATTAATGGTGTGATATCCATTATTAGAGCATATATAAAATGCCATTGATAGTCTCACTTCGCATACTCTCCTTAATGCCCATTTTAATAAATACAAATTGTGCTTTCCCCACTTAACCATTTAAGCACTCAACTTTGTTGCTAGTAACGGTTGCCCACCTCACTGTGCATGACACACATCAGAGAGTAAGCAGGTGGCTTTTGAATGTCTCTTCCATATTACTCATGTCAAAACAAATTATAGGACCTCCCTGGTGGCCAGCAGTTGAGCCCTGGACTGCGAAGCTGCCTGCAGCCTCTGCAGCACCAGTTCGATCCCCGGCTGCCAGCAAGGGTCCCACATGGCGCACAAACCTCTCCTGCTGCACCCGCTGCTCCTCTCAGCAGTGTATTTTGTCAGTCTGTCTGATCTGCTCCCTGCTCTGGCTCTGGTGAATTCTCTCTCACCCTCCCGCACTTCTGACTGTACCCAGTGCTTCCTCACATCTTAATAAATCTTTAGAAGAAAAAAAAAAACATTATAAAATAGCTAATAGTTCTTGAATGCTCATCCTCTATCAAGAAATGTCCTAAGAATGCTATATATGATAAGTCATTTAATCTATGCAACTACTCTACAAGAAATTAGCCATTGCCATTCCTACCTGATGGATGAGAAAACTGAGGCACAGAAAGGGTAAGACATGTTCCCAAGATCTTGAGCAATTTGCAGAACTGGCATTCAAACCTCAGGCTCTCTGCCTCCAAAGCTTGAGTTCTTCCCTGTCTGGATAATGACAGACCAAGAAAGACTTTTCCTTAATGAATAAACATGTAACTATCTCTTTTTCTCCTTTGACTGCTTGAAAAGATTGTTTTAGTTAAAATGCTATATGACTCGTTGATATGGCTACTGTTGTGATATTCTGTCTGAAGTTTTACCTAACTTTGTTCCATTATGAGCAGTACACATTACCATAAAGATCCTCTTTGTGCTGAGATTTTGTTGTAGCCTCTTGCAAGGGTGTGGTATTGCTGGAGGCCATACTGCTTACTTGGTCTTCAGAACAACTCTGCCATGATAATCAGAAAGCTCGCGATTTGCTTCTTCACAGAAAATCACTCCGCACCTCCTGATGTAACCACTTACACCTCAGAACACTCAATACAAGTAGAAAGGCCCCAAGGCTCTACAACGTCGCGGACGGCACCAAAGTATGGCAATGCTGAGCTCATGGAAACGGGAGACGGTGAGACTCACAGAGTTTTCCTCTTTTTCAAATTCTGGTCTCTACTACCTTGCCTTTTGGTGCCCGTGATTGGATGTGCTTTTCTTAGATACACAGTCAGTTCATTAAATTTATTGTCAGGTTCTCCATGAACCTCCCATGGAAAGCAGCAGACTCTTAAGAAATGCAGATCACCTCCAAGTTGGCCAAGAGTTATTCCTTGTAGGGGAAAATGTCACTTTTGTAGGAATTTAGCTGTGAGGAAAAGCAGAAATGTCTTAAGATTCTGATGTTTTTGCTAGTGAAGAACGAAGTCATTTCAGCAACGAGGAAATGACTGTGCTTGTGTTCAAATTATGAACAGTTATTTAAAAGGGCAAGATGAAATTAATGTAAAAGGAAGGGCAAGATGAAGTTAATGTAAAAGGAAGAAAATAATTATCAAAGATGGGCTAGAATGGTGATTTAGAGATATATTTGGAGGAAAAATAAAGTGATTAGATAAAACCCAATATAGGGTTTCTCTTTTATTCCTCACATCTTAAGTCTTAATGTGTTCTGAAGACAGTGGCTGTTTATGTTACCCAATCTGGAGATGCAGACATGAACTTTATGCTTTTTTTCTTTCTACTTTCCCTTAGTCTCAGTGCTTCCAGCGTCATGAAAGTAGGAATAGAACCTGGTAATGAAATCAAATGCTATATTCCTGGAGGATGGCTGCAGTGGTCTTGGCAGGCCATCCATCCCACTGTGCTTGCCTCCTGGGATACTGTGTGGTTTTGGGGGTCAGGAGGAAGGCCTGGTCCAGTTTCTAGGGACTGCTCACCTCTTCATCACACTCAGAGCCCAGAATGACTCAGGCTTGTGAGCTCTCTATTAATATGTTTGAAATCAGTCATTTGCCAACATGATTGGTTTCCCTGGAGCACTTTGAGTTTCAATTTTGCTTTAGTTTTCTGCAGAATTCATTATCAAATTGGTCATTGCTGCTGTTCTTGTCAACATTTTAATGGCTTTGAAGTTCATCTTTCTCCAGTAAATTCTGAGTCATAACTGTGTAGTCCAGTGTTTATCAGCCTATGATGACCTCTCTTGTCAGAAAGATGGGGACACTTACGAGGCTAGTGCTTCTGAGCCACACCCAGACCAAAGGCATCAGAAGGTCTAGCCTCATGATTGTCACTGTGCTGCCTCTTTGTCCTCCCTTAGTTTTTGTTCGGGGTCACCACACTGTGAGTGTGCACCTAGCAGAACATTTTCACTAGGCATATCCCATAGGTGACCCTTCAAGGACACTGGATCTCCCATAGCATAAGCCTGCCTCTCCCAGCCCTTGGAAGGGGCAGTGAGCTTCGATTTCCGACGTGGTTGCATTCAGGCTCCAGCATGCCTGAAAGTCAGCTCATTTGCTCCACGGTTGTGTTTCAGGCGTGCCTGTGAGTAGCCGGGTATCAGCAAAGATCCAACAGCTTGTCAACACCCTCAAACGACCCAAGAGGCCACCTTTGCGGGAATTCTTTGTTGACGATTTTGAAGAATTATTAGAAGGTAAGGGAGCCCTCTCCCACCCTGTTTGTTCTAGTGCTCCTATCATCCCATAAACGATGCTATTTTTCTACCAACGCTACTTCACTTTTTAAGAGCAATCATTTAGGCAGTCACAAGAAGACAGGAATCTAGATAGGGTGCTGCAGGCTCCTGATTATTCCCCCAACTATCCTTCCCAACTGTGCCCCACACTGAGCACTGGCACAGTTGCATGGAAACCCAAACCGGTTGTCACCTCAGCAGAACGCAGTGTTGTCCCCTGAGTCAGGATCTTGGTGAGGCTCCAGAAGGATACAGAAATGCAAGTATATGATAGAAAACTCACAGCAGCCCAGTTCTCCCTGGATAAGCTTTTAAAGGAGACTGCAGAGAGCCTACAGCAGGCTGCCTCCTGCCTGGCTTTACAAGTTCAGGAGCCAATGTCTCAACCTCTGAATGCTCAGAAGCCTTTTAACACAAACCACTTAAAGTTGGAACAAAATACTACTTACTGTGTCAAAATCAAACTGCTTGTTTCCTCATTCTTTATAACACAAGTAAGACATAGAGAATTTTCTGGACAGCAGGTGGAAATTCTCTATCATAAGCTGAGAAAGAAATCATTTCCAGAAATGAGAGAAATAATCTTGTTTTCTTGCCAATTTAAAGAGTTGGGCAGGTTATATTTTATATGAGGTATTTATTTTTCTTTTACTCAAGAAAATATGCTCTTTGGTCATTATTCCTAGTAATTGCAGCAGATTTGAACTTACATGTCAATATTTAAGAGCATAAAAGTTTAGTGAGATTTGAGCTTTTGGAGTCCAGAATTACTAGTATATGTTAATAATTGATATTTTAAACATAGGTATTGCAACCCTACGTATTATAAAATATGTAGTTTACTTGCTGTCAGTTTGTAAATGCACTCAGGTCTCCTAAAGTTCCTCATCCCAATATTGCTTTGGGAATTACAGGAATTGAGCACTTCATTTATGACCATTGAGGCTTAGTTGTAGTTCATAGCTCTGATTCTATAAAAGAATGAATGCATGTTTTCTGCTCACTAGTAAAGTTATACCTTTATTAGTTATACTCCTAGCTTGTTTCAAAAGAATAAAAAACGAATTGTGCTAACGTCCATGTATTTTTCTTGAAAACCTTTTGTATTCAAATGTGCTTATTATTAGTTCAACAACCAGATCCCAATCAGCCAAAGCCAGAGGGAGCCCAGATGTTGGCGATGCGTGGGGAGCAGCTGGGTGTGGTTACGAATTGGCCCCCATCCTTAGAAGCCGCATTACAGCGATGGGGAACCATCTCACCAAAGGCCCCTTGCTTGACCACAATGGACACAAATGGGAAACCACTATATATCCTCACTTACGGTAATTCTGGATGACTTATTCACCTATCTTTGCTTATTCCTAGACACAACTGACTCTTTAAGGGTAATTGATTTATTTTTGGACTTCCTTATGTTTCCATGGAAATAAATGAAATTTGAAAGGAAATATTTTAGAAAAATAACTTTAGATTATAAAAATCATTGTGTTTTAATGTGTTTTGAGGATCATCTAAAAATGGATGCAAAAAAGTTCACCGATCATAGCTTGAAGTAGGTTTTGGTTTTTACCTCTTGGAATGGTTGTGTGATATTGTTGAAACTAATACTTTCAAGAAAGATTGGTAGTTAAGGAATGTATACCTAAACTATGATATATATCACTCAGGATTTAAAAAAATCTCTTTCTAAAGTGTCTTTTTTTTAAGAAGTAAGAGAAAAAAGACTTTTCATAAATCTTTAACACAATTAACATAGTCTGCAAACTTATGGAAATAACTAACTGTACCAGAGAGATTTCTTTCTCTACTCCACGCTTGGGGGCTATGAGAAAGCAGGCTGTCAGATTATTTTCAGACTGTACTGCCGCTTTGCAAAGAAGCCAGCTTCTTAATAAGAGCAAGACCAAAATGGCTCATGTTAGGTCTGCTTGTGTGAGCTTAGATGACTTTTTTTTTTTTTTGAAACTTTTAGTCTTATTATTATGAAAATAAAACTCTATTGCAGGGAGGAAAGAAATCAATTTCTACATTACCAGTTGAGGTCTAGAACAGTGCAGATTCCAGCCTTGGCAGGCAGGACCCATGGCTCACAGAGCCACACCAGCCTCTGTGCATCTGTGAACACAGGTGGCCCTGGCTTGCAAGCTTGGTTCTCAGCTTCCCTGGTTTGTGTCTTTGTTGGGCAATTCTAAGTGCATAAAGGGTATCTCATCCATGATGAGGCATGAGCTTCATTTTTTTTTTTTTAAATAATGTTCTTGGCAGTAGGTTTTATTCACTTAAAAGAAAGACTTCTGTGTGACTTTCATCTCTTGCCAGTTCTGCAGTGGAGCTGTATTCATATTTGCAGCTGATTCTGCCAGACCCACATGCAGGGGTTTCTGATGACACACGTATGCAGGCCCAGGGAGCATTCGTTAAGATGTGTGAGGCATTTACTATGCCCTGGGTCAGAGCAGGGCCGTGTGAAATCAAGCCTGAGTGAGGGCAGTCTAAGGGACTGAGGACCTAGACTGGAGGCCTAACCCGCTTCTTCTGAAGGTACAGAGGACTTTGCCTTTTTGCAAGGTTCTGGAGAATCTGAGGCATAAGATACAGAACAAGTGAGTCCTTACTTAATGCTGTCAGTAGGTTCTTGGAAACCACAACTTCCAGCCAGTAGAATGAAGGAAGGTCCTTGAATAACACTGGTCCAGTGTTGAGTAGGAATTGTTTTTCTTATCACTGTTAGGACAAAACTTTATCATTCAAGGACCTGCTATATGAAAATTTTGAATGAATATGTCTACACCGAGTTATCTCAAGTCCTGTTTTTAAGTCACCTATATTGTGGTATATTTGGTGTATGTCTATATCTGACATATATTATGGATCAATCTTGGTTTTTTACTTGTCAAAGGAAAATAAGAAAGCAGTACATTTCTAAACGTGAGATAATAATTTATCGGGACAGAAAATGAAAGTGTTGACTAATACAATGAAAACCATAGACAAGTGCTTTTTATGCAGAAACAATAAAATCATTTAATGATTGGGTGTTACTGAGAAGTGGCAAAGGGAAGGAAGTTGAATAAGTGACTTGGTATAATCTAAGAACCAAACTAAACTGTAGTACTTTCAACTATCTAGCTTCCTGCAAGGCCCCAGGGTAGAATTCCCAGTTGAGAAATTTAGGATCTTTAATAGATGGCCAGTGAACTTGTGAACAAGCTTATAAAAAGTTTTATAATTATATTTTCCATTTAACAATATAAATAAAACATACTAAAGAAATCCCATGGCATTTCATAATCTTATGTTAGTAAAAGTAAATCATGCTAAGCAACCATTTCCTTTTATCATGCTCATTTAGCAGAAACTTTTCTGTCTCTTCCTCCTTTCTCTCCTCCCTGGCCCTAGGGAAATGTCTGCAAATCAATTTTGCTTTGTTCCAGTGTCCTTTTCTACCAAGCAAATGCTGGGTTGTTTTTTTTCTTTCTCCTTTTTCCTCCTCCTCCTCTTTTTTTTTTTTTTTTTTTTTTTTTGTTTAGATGCTTGAGCTAGAAAAGCATCGGAGAACCTTTCTACCCCATGTTTTTTGTGTTGATGATATTTCTTTTTTTTTTAATTGATGAAGTACCATTATTTTACATTCTTGTTAATGCTTTGAAGTATAGGATTTCTCCCTCTAGGTGTGCCCAGGGAGGGAACCCCAGCCTCCTCCTCAATGCTACATGTTCTGTCCGCTTGCTCATTCCTTACTCACATACAAGTGAAATTAAAATTACTATATAATAAAAAAGTGTTTGCATCATTTCTACATCTCCTTTGTACATTGTTCCAGAACCACTGTTTCTAATGTAAATCAGCAATTTCTCCTTTCTTTTTGAAAAAACATCAAGTATACTTCTAGAATGTTATCAAAAGTGTGTTTTACCCTTTTCAAACTCTCTCTTATAAGCTAATTTTGTATGAATTTATGATTTCAACATTAATATTCCAGACTGAGCATGAAGTTGGAAATTTAACAAAATATAATGGTGCTAATTGTTTGATTGTAATTGATTTGTTAATTTACAACACATTGACTTTTTCAGTTACAACAATTTGATTTAATTGTTTATTCATCTATATAATTCCCCAGTATTGTTCACATTAAGGAAATCTGGAGGCACAAATATTTGTGTTTTCCCTAAGGAAATGTGTTTTCCCAGAGGGAAAAAGCATCATTTCTGCATTATTTCTAATGGGCTAATGAACTACTTTTAGGAGAAAAATATAATCTCTAAGTAAGATACCAAGTAATTGTAAGGTAGCCAGTCTTGAGGACAATGGTATTGGGAAGCTAGAGATGGAGGAGGGAGCATGAATAAAATTTCATGCCTAATAATGATCTTGATGCTCTACAAGTATGTGAAAATGCTTTCTGTGATTTTTGTGCTTCTGGTAGCCAGAATGTCCTAGAATCTAGAGACATTTGGGCAAAGCATTTGCCCAATCACTGAAGCTGCGATACACTGAAAAATTCTTTGGTTGCTAAACAGTAATCACAAAATTTGGGTTGCTGAAAAATCTAATGTGAAATAAAAAAAATCCCTTAGTTTTTTTTTTCATTCAAAATACATTGTAAACAAAAAACTTTATATATTTTTCAACACTTCTAATTTCACTTTTACTTTTAAGATAGGAAAAAAATTAAAAGTGATTGCATTTATGTGACAGAGTTAAAAATACTCTCAATTTTATTGTACTGTTGTTGCACTGGTATAACTTCAAACAACTTGAGCTCTGAAAATGCTTAGAAGCTAAGGTTTTAAAACATCTTTGTGTTCAAGAACTCAGAATAGATTTAAAGTCATTTTCATTTAGTCACAGACTGTTTTCTGTCACCTGGATAATGCTGAAGAATTGTACTAGGATGAAAGCAGAGATTTGAAATCTGCAAGTTCTTCAAAGCTGAACATTATAAAGAATGTTTTCTTGAAGTAACATTGGATGATGACATGATATAGGTTTCAGGTGCACAGTGTTATGCTTCAGCATCTGTACATAGTACATCTCGATCACCACCTAAAGCCTAGTTTCCATCTGAAGCTGGTCACTTCTTCTGAAGTTTTTTTTTTTCTTTAATTCTTTTTCTTTCCCTGCTTTGTGGTCATTTTTGTAATGTTTATAACTTTAAAATAATTAAAAATACTAGAGAAACCAAACAAAAGGTCAAGAAAAAGACAAAACTTGCAAGCTGACCATAGAGTAGCAAGAGAGAGGGTAGAGGGGGTAAAAACAGGGGAGGGAAGAGCCCAAGGGAATAGGGTGATAGTGCACCTGTGACATGGAGTTGGAGAACTATGAGGACTACATATGAGGGGAGAAACCAATTACTGTACAAATATGAACAGTGATCTAGGAAAATGTTTTAAAAATTAAAAAAATAAAGATTGTAAAACTAAATGAAAATAAATAACTTCAAGAAAGGAAGGTTTTGGAAAGGAATTTCCGAAACTCCCACAAGTCTGAAATTAGAAAATTTAAAGTTGAAAAACTTAGGACTTAAAAGGACCTCCCTGATGGCGCAGGGCTTAAAGACACAGCACTATCAAGCTATCGGCAGCCAGTGCAACATGAGATCAAACCCCGGCCAGAGAGCTAATCCACATGGCACAGCAGACCTCTGCTGTCTCGCCACTGCTCCCCTCAGCAGTGTATTTCAGTCAGTCTGCCTGTTCTGTTCCCCACTCTGTCTCTGATGAATCCTCTCATTCCCACACCTCTGGCCTACACTCTAGTTCTTGTATGCATAACTAAATAAATCTTTAAAAAAAAAAATTAGGACTTAGCAGAGAGAGGTCTCCAGCCCTGTGAAGACCACCACTGCAGTTCTGCAGTGCTTATATTCTTTTTTTTTTTTATGCCTACAAGAGCTGGGGTACAGACCAGAGGGGCGGGGGGCGAGGGAGGGTGAGAGGATTCACCAGAGACAGTGGGGAACAACATAACAGGCAGACTGACAGAAATACACTGCTGAGGGGAGCAGTGGGAGAGACAGGAGAGGTCTGCTGCACCATGTGGGTAGTTCCCTGGCCAGCTAGGGGATGGAACTCGTGCTGCAGAGGCTTTGGACAGCTTCATAGGTTGCATCTTAACCCCTTGCATCACCAGGGAGGCCCACTGATGTTCCTCAGAGTCACATGAAACAGGACCCCCAAAAAAAGGAAAGTTGTGTCGTTTTGCACAACCTAAGATGGTGATGTGCTTATCACAGTAACCCCACCGTACTCACTCCCTGAAAGTGTCTGAGATGACCTTTGAGATCATCTCCGGCTTTGCTGGAGGTCTCTTGCTCGGTGTCCAGGCATCCTTGATTATGTAAGTCAGAGCTGCTGGCTTTTATATCCCACCTTGATGCCAAGACACAGAGTAAGTTGAAGGCTGAAGATGAAAAGTGCTTTGGGTAAATTTCATCTCCTGAGAGGATTTCTTAAGACCACTCCCCAGTTCTTATAGACTGTAAAATACTGACAAATGAGTGATAGCCTGTGAAAGGGGCCCCCTCATCAGAAATAATCAGAACTCAGGCTAACGTTTGAGTTTTCTTTTTTTTTTCTCCTCAAGGTTTGTTTTAAAAAGTCTCTCCTCCTCTGCTTTTACTTGATTTCCGTTTCCTTCTCACTCAGCTGACCCATTTCCTGGGTCCTCCATTCGTTCTTACCGTGATCTGGTCACATTAAGAGCAGGTGGATACAGGTGCCAGGCTTTCACTGGGGAGTCATAATCTACAATTTGACATGCACATCCAGCCATAACTGAAAAATTCATGTGTCCAATTACTTGTATCTTTATCATTTGTGTTAATAGGCAAACTGTGGACAAGAAGTATGAAGGTTGCGTACAACATTCTGCATAAATTAGGTACAAAACAAGAGCCCATGGTGCGACCTGGAGATAGGGTAAGTGCAATTTAATTATGGGATCTGCAGTACATGCCTCTTATGTGGGAAATTTTCAAGTGAAAGCCCAGCATCTACTAATTTTACTAATAAGGCTTCCTTAATATTCACTATAAGCATTTAATCCTCACAACAACTTGTTAAGCTGAATGTGGGGTTCTCACATTTTAACCCCGAGGACACTCAGACTTGGAAGGTCAAGTATCGTACAAGATGAGGCACAGCATTAATAAGTGGCATAGACAGCACCCAAAGCCAGTAACCACTGTCAGGTATTGTCTCCTGGTTGGAAGCATCTTGTCATCTACCTGGGCAGGTGGGACAATTACCTTTAAAACTTTTTCTCCATTAATCCATTGGAACTTACTGTCTTGGCAGCAAACTACTGCTACAGTTCCTTTCCCAGTGTCATATTTCTTGATAAAGCAGGTTTTTATTTCATTCTTAGTGCAAACTGGTAAGTTACAGAGGACAGATAATTAGTATTACCAGTTTCATGTTATACCAGAGCACTTAATAATCTTGTCCAAGCTTTGCACCCTGATTTTGATGTGGGACTAGGTGTTGAACCTGATTTTATTGCCATCGATATATTGCCTTTTTCCCCACATGCTGCTGGGTAACTTAGACCCCCAGGACTGCACCCAAAGATCTCCAAGTGAAATCTATAAAGATATCATTGTAGAGCACTGTAAACAAACAAGAACACAAGATATACTTTAGTTAAGAGATAATATAAAGGCATGGACCCATTATAGGGAATTTTCTAAAAGATGACTGCTGCCCAGGGTTTTGTGCTGGACTGTGTGATTCTTTCCAGTTTTATTGAACAAGTTTGACCTCTAGCATTTAAAAGTCAGTTGCAGGTCTCATGCTTCCTGACCATGAATCCTACTACAAAGTTTTAATCAAAACAGTGTGCAACTGACAGAAAGTTAGACATATAGACCAATGGAATAGAATAGAGAGCCCAGAAGGAAATCATATATATGGTCAAAGGATTTTTTAATAAGAATGCTAATACATCAAATGGCAAAAGGACAGTCTAGTCAACAAATGGTGCTGAGAAATTGAATACCCACAAGGAAAAGAATAAATTTGAAACCTTATACCATCTACGGATAATTAACTCAAAGTGAATCCATGGCCTAACATAAAAGCTAAAACTATAAACTATTAAATTTAAAACAAGGAAATAACTTCATGACACTAAATTTGACAGTGATTTCTTGGATATGACAGAAAAAGCAGAGGCAACAAAAATTTGGACTTTAAGAGAATTAAAACTTGGATACTATCAAGAGAAAATGTTTTCAAATGCTATGTATTATGTGAGATTAGAGTCCAGAATATATCAAGAACCTCTATAACTCAACAACCACCAAAAAAGTTTTAAAAATGTTGGTTTGAATAAGCATTTCTCTCAAGAACATTTTCAAATGGCTAATAAGCACATGAAAAGATGTTTATTACTAATCACTGGGGATATACGATGAGATACTACTTCATACCCATTGGGATAACTGTTATCAAAAAAACAGAAAATACCAAGTTTTGACTCAAATGTGAAAGACAGAACTCAAAGTTTCTAATTTTTTCATGTCTTAGTCAAAACTTAGTATTTTCTGTTTTTTTGATAACAGAATCCTCTCACCCTCCCACGCATCTGGTCTGTACCCCGGTTCTTGTATAAAATAGTCTTTAAAAAAATTAGAAACTTTGTACATTGCTGAGAGCACTCTGAAGTGATGTACCGATTATGAAAAACAGTATGGTTGTCCCTTAAAAATTAATCCTAGAATTATCATTTGATCCAACAATTCTACTTCAGTTTCAAAGAATTGAAAGCAGTGACTTAGACAGATATTTCTACACCAGTGTTAATAGTAGCATTATTCACAAAAGGCAAAATGTGTAAGCAACCCAACTGCCCACCAATGGAGAAATAACCAGAATGTGGTAGCTACATACAATGGAATATTACTCAGCTTTTAAAAGGAAAGGGGACAGAAAACTACCTGTGTGTAGCCATTGTGGTGCCAGGGGGCAGAAGGGAGGGAAATAAAATAAGGAAATTCTGACACACAGTAAAACATAGATGAACCTTGAGACATTATATTATGCTCAGTGAAATAAGCCAGACACAAAAGGACCGATTGCTTGTGTTTTCTCCTCAGTGTGGTACTTAGAGTGGTCACGTGCAAAAACAGAATGGTGGCTGCCAGGGGCTGGAGACAGGGTGGAGAGTTTGTGTCTAGTGTAGACAGGCTTTCAGTTGGGAGGCGTAGACATTCCATGGATGGCTGGGGGTGATGGTCACACAGCAGTGTGAAGCTCCACAATGCTGCTAAACTCTGCACTTGAAAACAGTTAAGAAGGTAAACTTGGTTATGCATATTTTACCACAATTTTATAAAAATCAATTATAGTATATTATCTCCCATATCTATGATTCTTAGACCTGTTTAAAAAAAAAAACATTATTTTATAGTATGGCCTCCAGATTCTTGAAGTGCCTTGTAATAGCAATTACAAAAGAAACCACCTATGTTCAGCTCCCGTGTGAGAATGAATGTAGTGGGCACAGTTTTGATGGAATAAAATAGAGTTTTTGGCAAGTTCTGGTCTGTATTGTGTGAGGGGTATAAGTTCCCTAAATTAGTCTTTAAAAAATTACTCACGTGCCTAACATCTGGTGTGTGAGTGTAAATACTTATTAAATAAGCATACAAAACTAGTAGTCCAGTGATTGTTGCCTTCTGTGGAAATAAACAGGATTCTTACCCACTTTGAAAGTCATTTTTTGGATAAAACTTAATATACCCCAGAATAGTAATAGTCAATCTTTAGTGTAGAAATTATAGACACTTTTCATGTGGATGACTTTATTACTGCACTTTGGAGCGTAACTTCTGACTTTGAAAGAGGTATTGATATGCCTGATGCTGATTAGGGTTTTGGAATATTGTACCAGGAGCTGTAGAAAATATAGACACATCACACAAGAAGAGAGCAGTAGTATTAATTCTCTATAAATTGCAAAGTGATAATGGTCTCCAAAGAGGTGGTTAGAGACATATCTGAACTGTTTGGGTAGGAGAAGCATCTTTTTGTTTGAAGCACACCTGGACTCTAAGAAGGCTTCTAGGGAGAGAAGATAGAGTGGGGGTCAGGTTGTAGGGAATGGAGTGAGGACTGAGTGATACATGCAGCTCCAGCCCTCCTACTTCATGGCAGTGAAGGAAAATCAGGGAGGAAGATAGGAATCAGTTTACAAGGTTAAACCCTATCAAAAGCCTCGGGTGGACTTCCAGCTCATGATTTGTTGATGCATGTTTTGCTTGGTGGGTACTGCCAAGGGAATCCATGGACAATCGGAGAATCACACGAAGGGAAACCATGTGAACTTAGACAAACTAAGCATCTGTAATTGTATGGGACTGCACTGGAATCACTAGGGACTCACCAATGTGAATCCATATTTTTGAAAGATGTGAAAGGAAAAGTTTATAAGAATGACATACAAATGGGATTCTCTTTCTTAAAACAAATTGCAAAAAAAAATTCAGCTTTTTGATTCCAACAGAACCATTAGGAAAGGAAAGGCCTTTTCTACCCATTACTTTTGTACTGTTGAGAGCATATAGTAATGTACAATTTTATATTCTGCTTTTACTCACTTAACATCGTGATATAACATTTCATCCTATTTTAACACAGCTCTGAAAGTTATATAATATGGCATTATCAGCATACGTTTAGTGATATAGCAGTGGGAATTTTAAATCCTGGATCAAGTTGATCTTCCTTTAAATAGAGCTGGGGTGGAAACCAAAGCAAAATCTCAGAAACAGGATTGGTCCACAGTCTGGCTGTGGGAACATCTCACTTTTCCTTTGTGTGTTCTTTGCTCTTGGTGGAGACTCATTCCTCTGGAATAGGTATTATAGGAAGAACCCTAAGTCAGTGTTAAGTCATCCTTTATGAATGGGCATACACATTGGTATTGGGTAAAGCTTGGACATCTGCTGCAGCTTTAATGCTGTTTGGTCGGCTTTCTGAAATGTTTTAGTCTGCTTCAGGGACAGAATCCATGCAGCATGGGAACCTGGAAGCCTTGCCAACCCTTCATTGAATATTGTTGCTTCACTAGATGCAGTTCTAAAACCAGGTGCTATCAACCATCAGCCCATTGGTGGAAGACAAAACACTTGAGCTAGTGCAAACCTCAGATGGTTTTTTAAAGTGATTGTGGTTCATATGCATGGACTTCTTGAAAGACTTACTAATGGTAACCTGGCACCCAACTGCATGCTGTTGGGACAAAATGAAGGACTAACATATCAGCAATTATTCTCAGTTTCTCAAATAAAATTTATTTTTAGTGCAGAATGGTTCTTATTGACCTTGCAGTTTTGTTTTTCTCTCATCTAGATGATTTTAGTCAACCGTAGGAATGCTACAGGGAAGGGATTATCTTATACAATTCCATTAATTTTGTTTCAACCAACTATCATGTGTTGCTAAATTGCCAACATAGCCAAATCCAAGGAACAGCTTGCTCTATTCTCAGCTGGCATCTGAATCTTTTGTGACAACCTACTTATTTAGATATTGAAGTAATGAGGGTCTTATCCAACTGTTCATGACAAAATTCATAACTTCTAGTTGGAACATTTTTTTTAAATTGGTTAAATACCTGAGTGAGGTAATGTACTGAAATTATCTATATTGTAAATCATGGGATTTGTGTGCTTAAGAAAACATACCAACTTGAGTGCATAAGAAGAGTACCCAGATGCTGTAGCACATGTGAGAAAGAAGCCGAGTCCTGCAGAGCATGGTGGAGAGGCCAGACACAGGATTGTCTTGAAGCTTTATCACAGGAGGCTTTCATAGCAAGAGAACGGAAGTATTACGCATGATGGAACACTGGGGGAACTTAAGTTAGTTGCACTGCGGAAATGAAGATGAGATCCCAGTGAATTTAAAAGTTCACAATTATAAAAGTCTAGGAGAAATTGCATGAAATATTTGTTAAATAATCGGTGATAACATGCAGAAGTTTGAGAAATTTACATAAAATGTTAAATGCACCAATAAAAATTTTAAAATATGTGAAGTCTGCATCAAATTTAAGAGTTAATATTACCAAATATATTAAAAATTCATTCAGCTTTTAGGATAAATGTCAAGACACTTACAGATAAATAGGGGAAGGTAATGAAAAGAAAATCATGCAAAGAATAATAATATAAACATCCCATGGAAATTGTTCATCACTAAGATACCGTAAGGACAATCAGAAAACATACAATCCTCTTGCCCACTGTTTGTGCCAACATAACTGGATGGTAGTTAAATCAGCCTTACTTTTAGCCTCCACAATGATCCTTAGTTCTTCAGAGCAGTTGAACCAGCTACCAAGGGGTGGGTGGACCTGCAAAGGCAGTATTCACTGAACCTCACATCTGGGCCAAAACCAAGACTTTGCAGGTGTCTGCAGCGCTGGTTGACTCACTGCACCAGTACTGGTAGCCAGTGCAGTGTGAGTAGTTAATGTCCATGACTGCGCCGGGTGCAGGCAGAGCTTAGAGCTCCTTCTTCCCTTAGATAAGGCTCGACTGGTGTTCTTGTTTACAGGTGAGGAAACAAAGGCCCATGCCCAAGTCAGGCAGTGAACGGTCTTCAACCACAATTGTGAGACTAGAAATAGGAGAAAGTATCTGTAAAGCCTAGTGAAAATAGCAGTCTCATACACAATTTCGTGTATATGAGAATGCACACAAGATGGAAGATAACAGGAAAGTAAGGAGAGCTCTGGTGCAGTTTTACACATGACTATTGGTGGTGTGTTTGCCTTCTATATAAATTAGAAGAGAGTTCATGAGGCTATTGAAGCACCTTTTACTGCTGCATTTTTAAGCCAGGCACCTACTTTTCATTCTGGTGTTGCTTTTCTGTTGAATGTGAGCCCTGCTGCTGCGGGGGGCTGTGTGCATTAGTGGTGTTTTAAAAGCATCATGTCATGTAACTCCCTCCCTCTGTGCAGGTGGCACTGGTGTTCCCCAACAACGACCCTGCTGCCTCCATGGTGGCCTTCTACGGCTGCCTGCTGGCCGAAGTCGTCCCTGTGCCCATCGAGGTCCCGCTCACGAGAAAGGTAAAGGATACATCGCTTCCTGAAAGCCTGTTAAAGGATGCCAGGCTGCTGCCCTGGACATACTGGCGGGGGTCAGGATGCACAGGCTACTGTGGTAAAATGTTTGTCACCCCTGCAGCTTGTGGGCGGAGAGGCACAGGATATCTCATTTCTGAGGGGCTGTGCAGTTTCTTAGTGCAGGGAAAGTACCACTCAACCTTGGATTCTACTCTGGATTTATCTGGCCTTCATTCATGTTGCACTGGCAACATCAGTGAACAAACTGTGGGGTGTATCTCCTGACTCCAAAGTGTGTGATTGTGTGTGTCCAGCCCCAGAGTTCCCATGAGTTCCTCCTGCTGGCTTCATGGCTATTCTGCTATTAAATGTCATGGTTCAACATTTAAGGAAGGCTTCTGCGACCTCGAGGAAATGCCTCCTAGTCTGTTCAGGGGGTAGAAGGGAGAGAGCCACTCTCAGTAAGCAGTAACCACACCCAGAAATACTTATTGCCACAATGAGTACCATTTCCTAATTTTTTCACATCACATAAGGAATCTAGATTTGTCTATGTTAAGTCTGTAGCCTGGTGTCCAAACAACGGTGGGTTCTCAGAGGAAAATCTTTTGTACAAAGAGGCACATGCCTGGCCTCCTCCTCACTGGCAGGAACGTTGTGCTATTACCCGGACAGGTAGTGCAAGTTCCACATACTGCTGCTGCAGACGCACCTAGTACCCAACCTGACTCTTTCACTAACATGTTTTCAATGCTTTGAAATAGTGATGTTAAGATCCTTTGCCTCTTTGATGGAAATGTAAGCCATTCATTCAGATGTTTTAGAACCTTTCTAATTGTGTGTGAGTAGGAAGTTCCAGCAGGAATAATTGCTGGAGGGAGGGAGGTGTTGTGCTGGATTCTGTCTGCTGTGGCTTTGCATGGTGGCTGCGGAAGCTACATGAGCTCTGCCACCCAGGCCCGTTGGGGAGAACTTGAGTCCTGCCACAAGGCCAGTTCTCCCATCGGTGCTGTCAGGGCCATCTGCCCACTCGCCTGAGGGTCCCAAGCTGTTACCTACCAGGTGTCTCACCTCCCAAACCCACTCAGTACCCTCCTTCTGGTACCCTGCATCATGGGACCAGAAACCCAGCAGGGGACTGGCCGAGGGTCTGGCTGTTTCTCCCCTGGGAACATTTCCTGATGGGGAGACAGGACCGTGAGATGACTTTGCTGACAAAGTTCTCAGGTGAGCAGAAGCTGTGTGTCACCCTCAGGCTCTCTGACTTCAAAATGTCATGTCTTTTCCCTTGAGAATATTTCTTTAGGTTAAAGAACCTGTTTGGTCAGGTGCAATTCAAAATGGGGCAAGATGTGTAGAAAAGCATAGATGAGGAGGCCTGTGGTATTTCTTCTATCAGTTCTGTGCCCCTAGACTTGTTTTAAAACAGAGGGCCCCATGAAAAGCACATTTTCCAAATCCTGATATTACTTAATGTCCCTCATGTCATGTTTGTTTATTCTCTGTTTCAATTCCTGGGGTGAGAGGAGAAAACTTTTTCTTTAAGAGAACAGAGTAGGAGAAATCCACATTCCTGTGATACTTGAGCCAGGGAGCAGGGAAGGCAAGGGAGGGCATCCACATGTCACTGCCAAGTCGGTGTTGTCACAGCAGATCTGAAAGGTGCCTGGAGCCCTCCCCCCCCCCCCCCCAGGAGATGGACATCGGTAAGACCATCTGTCAGCTGAGACACAGGCTGTGCTGCGGGCATGAGTATGACAGCAAAACAGTATTACAACCTCAGGACAGGGGTTGAATTGTCTGTATTCTAAGCGCAGTAGCAACAGAGAAGATATGGCTCTTGGGCCACAGGCGTGGAGCCCACTGGGGCCTGGTCTCCTCAGGAGCCTGGCCTCAGGGACATTTGCTTTCCTGCTGGGATATTCTTTCCTTTCCTTTCCTTCACACAACCTATTTGCTTTAATAAAGGGTTTCAAATTCCTGTTAAAATGAAATCTCTTTGGAAGCAATAGCTTCTCTGTCTTGCCAGGTATTTACAATTGTGTGTGAACGGTGATATGATTCTCCTCAGGATCACCTTTTGATAGGAAATCTGAGTAGAGGGACCTTGTAGACCTGAAGGGTGGTAGGAGTAGGGTGAAATCTGGCTAGCTGAAGAGGGGGAGGGGGATAGGTTGTGCCCCACGTGGGATTCATTTAAAACACCCTGGAGGGGGAGAGAGAGAGAGCGCGAGCGCACAATTTGAGTACACAGGAGCAAAATTGGTAGCAAAAACTACCTACTAGTAGTTTGGAGGTCACGAATCTAAAATGAGTTCATGACAGACTTTTCATGAACTCATTTCACGTGGAGAGAGAATCCTCTTTTTGTGTGTGATTGATGCTTTCTGACTGGGCCCCGAGGACAGACTGGGGTGGACAATGATAGGCAATGTGTCCACACTGGCCCATTCGATGCTGAGGAGTCACTTGTCAGAGACACAGGGAAGGGGTTTTCTAGGAAGTGACATAATTGGTGTGCTCTTCACATATTACAAAAACTGAGAAATTTCCACTCGAGTGTGGTCTAGGTTTTCATAGGCAGCAAGAAAGCCATGAGTGAAGTTTTGTGCCCAGTAGTCCTCGACAACCCAGCATTCAGGGGAGCACCCCTGCAAGCTGCCACCTTTCAGCAAGAACCTGCAGGCCCGAGAGGTGCTTAGTCCTGGGGAGAAGCACGGAGAAAAGGGAGCCACGAGGGGCTCATCCTCATGCTCCCTGAGGTGGAAGGCTGTGCCCTGAGTCGGCTGCTCATCAGACACAGGGAGGCAGTCACTGCCTTCCTGAGACTGGGTCTAGAAGCCACGTGGATTGTAGCAGCATGGGTGTCACACGTCCTTGTCTCAGGTTAGTGTAGAAACAGGCCATGGCATCAGCGTTATTTGTAGAGTGTGTGCGCTCAGGTGCTGCCCCTGGTTCTGGGCTCCAGAAGCTTTGAGCTTCAGGGATCTGTGTGGGTACAGGATCTCATTTCACCCATGGGGTGGGGTGGGCATAACTGAATAGGAATCTTCCAAATGAAGAGGAGACGCTCCTTCCTACAAGGTCTCTGATCTTTTCCTTCATATGTTGGTGTGTTGTTATCTGCGTCTCCCAAGGATGAGTCTCTCTCATTTTAGGGATCAAATTCTATGCAGACATTAGAAAGAGGGAGTTCAGAGGCAGCAGGTTTCAAAGAGGACCAATGTCAGAGCGCAGTGCCAGCCCTGTGAGGTCACAGTCATCTGCCTGGTGCTTGGACCTAAGTCATTCCATGTGCAGATTCCTAGACCCTCCAACACAATCACACCCCAGTGAAACCTGGTTTCAGAAACTGTCCCCTCTCATTGTGTGGTGATGGGATACCCAAATACACGTGAAAGTGGCTGATTATAACTCTGTTTGAAAAAATACTGCTCAAAGGAAAAGTCCACAATTACCCCAGAAAGCAGTGCCTGCATCTGCCCAGTGCCAGACCTCCTCTCCTTCTCGGGCTGCGTGGTGTGTGCCCGTCAGGTTTGCCATACAAAATGCCATGGAAAGAGACAGATTTTCACTGATGATTTAAATCTACAATCAGGAAAGTATGAGTACCCACTTGAAAAGCTTAGCTTAGAAGTGTTGCTACTACTGATTTTACCCGGTGACAGTACCCGTCAGTGAGGGGAAGGAGGCAGAGCGGAAGGAAACAGGGCACCGTGTCCACGGCAGGCGTGTCATTTTCCTTGCTCAGGCAGTGCGCCATGGGAGGAAGGAGGTGATGGTTTACTATTCATATGCTGCAGTTCTAAGAACCTGGCTTCTTCAGGCTTCTGTCTTGTTTTCTGAATCATAGCTAATGTGACGGCAGAATAAAGAGAGTTGAACTGACTTGCTGCTGGCCTGTCCTTCTGCAGGGTGCTGGACTAATAAGCAGCAAAGCTAACAGGGTATTTTCACTCCCTGCCCTAGCCAAGGGGAGCCCTGTCCTGCAGCATCTTCTCAGACCCACGTTCCTCAATCCACATCAGCACTTGCTTCCCCAGAGCTGGTCATGCTGTGGTGGCCTGAGAATGTGCCCTCTTGAGACATGTCACACTCTGGGTGAGGGAAGGGGCCAGGTTCCTTCCTCTGGTTAAGAGTGAGTGTTGGGTGTACCCAAGCCAGTGTGATCAAGCACTCCGTATGCCTTAGCACTAGTAGTTTTGAAACTGGGCACCAGGTATAGTATGTTAAGTACAGAGATGTTTTCTTAGACTCTTAGACAGTAAGCTTTCTCACAATCACAGTCTCACAGAAACCTGGTGATGGGTCCGCTCACCGAGCTCACGTGGTTATGTGCTGAGTGCTTTACCCCGATGCATCTGGTTCATCCTCACATAGCCTGAGACCCTGCTCTGCTCTTTATTCCCCTCGTACAGATGAGGAGACAGGCTAAGTGAACTCTGTTTAGGGGCACTTTACAGCTAGCAGGTGGCAGCCTGGCTTTGAGTCCAGTCCTCAGGATGCCAGTCTGTGCCCCAAGCTGCTGGTCATTCAGGGAAATTCTATCCATCCGGGAACCTGAGGGCAAGGCCATGTTGTGGGAAAGCAGCCACGATCTCTACTTTGTGATCCTTCTTTCTTTGTTGCCCTCACCTAGGATGCAGGGAGCCAACAGATCGGATTCTTACTTGGAAGCTGTGGAGTGACTGTGGCCTTGACTAGCGATGCTTGCCACAAAGGACTGCCAAAAAGCCCAACAGGGGAGATCCCACAGTTCAAAGGTACACACAGCCACAGGCCCTTGGGAGGCCAGCTCTTCTCTGGGGAAGAATGTGCTGAATACACGGCTGCACATACCGTCTTGGATAACACCCCTTGTGTTACCAGCCTATGTACGGCTGGCGGGGCTCGCTCACTCCTGTCGATACCATCTGAGATGCAATGGAAACACCAGTCTCCATCTAGCGGGTGGTGTTGTAAAGCATAAAGTGGGAGAAGTCATTCTATACACCTCTTCTAGGTAATGCTTACTGAAAGGAATTTGTCTTATTTGTCTTTATTTCCAAGGTTGGCCAAAGCTGTTGTGGTTTGTCACAGAGTCAAAACATCTCTCCAAACCTCCTCGAGATTGGTTCCCACATATTAAAGATGCAAACAATGACACTGCTTACATCGAGGTAAGCCCCCGGGTCTGGCTGCACTCCGGAACTGAGAAACAGTTTCGGATGGTGACACAGCTCCAGACTTAGGGTCTTGCAGCCTCACAGGGGGACCAGTGCTGAGAAACACGAGCCTGGTGACTGGTCCCCTACCCTGGTCTGCGTGTTGTCTCGTTTCAGTACAAGACCTGCAAGGATGGAAGTGTGCTGGGGGTGACCGTCACTAGGATTGCCCTGCTGACCCACTGCCAGGCCCTCACTCAAGCCTGTGGCTATACAGAAGGTATGAGGGACAGGGGATCTCCCCACAACCAGGGCCTGGGAGACTCAGTCATATCACCAGTGGAGGGAATGTGACCTTCTCCCTTGAAACTGTGTGACTTTGCACCCATCTCAGCTAAAGCCTGGCTAACCCGTGGGGTTGTATATTCAGGGTCATCTGCCTCTCACCACTATAACAGCATAGGCTGGGGCTTAAATAACAGACAAGTGTAACTCAGTTCCTGAGGCAGGAGGGCCAAGATCAAGGTGTCCTGAGGGTCTGTTCCTGGAGGTGAGATCTCTGTTAATGGCTGGCAGATGGCGCCTTTTCACTGTCCTCATGCAGCCTGACACCATATCTCTTCCCCCTCTTATGAAGACACCTGCTCTGTTGGACCCAAGCACCACACCCATGACCTCATTTAACCTTATTTGTCCTATAATATCCTTGTTGACCCAAACTCCAAATACAGCCACACCACAGCCTAGGGGTTCAACCTGTGAGTCTGGGGAGAGTTGGACCATAATGGATCATTAGTACCATGGATGTTCTTTCCAAGCTGCACATTGGAATCTTTTGGGGAGCTTTAAAAAAATGCCATGTTCCAACCCACCTGTACCAATTGACTCATAATCTCTCGCAGTAGGTTACTGAGCCAGGGGTGGCCACCACAGTGGGGAGCAGCTGGTTGTCATGCTCACCTGCCACACCATGGACAGCATGGCTTTAAACACACCATCGTGTCTCTGGCTCACACCATGCATCATAGTTGTCATTTCACACATTTGTTTTAGCTCCATTTTCAGAGACATCCCCTCTATAGCCCTTAACTACTCTTACATTCCTTTTCTTTTTTCTTTTTTTTTTAACTTGCCCAGTGCTTTCTTGAACTAGGGTTCTGACAGATGATGCATCAGTCCCTTCAAGCCCATCCCACATTATGAAATTCAGGATCCAGAAGTGACTCTGTCCTTGGTTTAGCTGCTTCCATGACATTTCCTCTTGAAATTTCCCAAACATTGAGTGTAAAGATTTCATCCACACATATACCCCTGCCATAGGTTGTCATGCTCACTGAAATGCTCCCCCACATCGTTGTGTATGCAAAGCACTGCGTCCACAATTCTCTATCTCGCCTTCTATCTGTCCATCTTCCTGTACGACCATCAGTCCATCCACCTGTCATCCACCTACCCTTTCATCTATCCATTCACAACCAGACAGGGTCAGGTTCTGGCCAGTCAGATCCCATGCTTCACAGCACTTGGGGCTGGGCTTCCACTGGGTTCAGAATTTAGGCCTTGGGGCACCTACACATAATAACATCCCTTTCTGGAGCACCAGCAGCTGGGGCCAGGTAGCTGATAAATGTTTGCATCTCTAACCCCAACTGGACAGGGGGAGCCTAAACCTCAGCCTGTGAATGTTCTGAGATGGATGAAAACTCCTATAGATGACTGCATATAGAAAACTGCATATAGATGACACTTAACAGGGCAGAGTAAGAACTTATGTTTGTGCTAGAAAGGCTGGTGTAAAGGGACAGCAGAGAGGAAGAAAAGGGAGTAGGAGGAGGGACTAGGAATGCAGGGGAAGGAGGTTGCAGGAGTGGGGCTTCAGCTGGTCCATCCCTAACCTCCTAGGGGTTCTCCTGAATGCTGGAAGACAAAGGGTTAACCTAAATGAGGAAGAGAAAGGACAAAAAGCTTCCTCAGGACTTAAATCCTGTCCTTTCAAATTCCTTGTCTCCTCCTTATACCCCAGAGACTTCCAGTGGTACAGAGGTGATCCTCCTTTCTCCAAATCCTTGGCCTTTCTCTCTCCTGGGAGAACACATGACAGAAATGAAAAGACTCACTCTTAAAAAGAAATAAAAGGGCAGGGAGGAGGAAAACAAGTATATGAAAGAGAAGACATAGCACATTTTCAGTGATGGTATGAAGGGCTATTGCTGCCAACCTACCTGTCTGAAGATTCCTTTGGAAACACTTTCCAGCATTTAAAAATGGGTTTAGAGGCTGCAGAATTTCTACCAACATAAAGTGAAATGATTTTCCATTACCACCCCCAATGTGATGTTGGATTTTCTTTGCCCTTTGTGCCTGCTTCGTAAGTAAAAATCTTTTGACTCTTCATTTGTGCAGCTGAGACAATTGTGAATGTGCTGGATTTCAAGAAAGACGTGGGACTTTGGCATGGAATCCTGACGGTAAGTGTGGCTCCCCTGTGTCCTGTTCACATTTGGACGTGCACAGTCAGAATTAAAGTGTGGTCTCTACACAAGGTCCTTGGAAGAGCCCTTTCCTCCCGCCTTGTAAGGAAAAGTCATCCTTGTTGGCAGTGATGTCATTTCTGGAAGCTCAGTGAGCCCCCAAGCCCCAAGCTTTAGCAGCTACTCCCTGAGTCCTGGAACTGAATATTGACATTGCAGCTGCCTGGAGCAGTCTTTTCCAGGCTCAGAGGAAATGCAGTGTGTGTTCCCCACTTTTGGCATTTAAGATTTCACAGTAATGTCATCGACAGCTGGTGTTTGGGTCAGTTTCCCCATACATATGATTTGACTAGGACAGTGTTATTTTTCCTTCCTGTGAGACAGTGTTTATTAATACTTAGGGAATCCACTGTTCCATTATGCTACAGGGGAAAGCACTTAACAGATTCCTCTTAATAAAATCCAGCAAGCATTATAGAGGAATGCATGTCTCCTTATTAGTGCCACAAGATAAGTGAGGATATAACAAAGCTGTAGGCACTTTTAATAGAAAAACAAACTTATTGTTAAGGTATATTTAACATTTAAAAAATATGTGTAGAATAACTACTTAGAATCTTGCCATGTCTGTTTCAGATGTGATCATTTTCACTTACCCATCTTTTTCATAGTTCTTTATACTGAAACTTTATATCTTTGCAGAAGTAAAAAAATTCTAGCAATTTTTACCTGACTGATAAGAATATAAATACAGAAGGTAGCATTTGTTGTTTCTTGATAAACCAGAATTTATTTCAACAAGAGCAGGCAAGATCATGTAGACCAAAGGTTGGGGTCTGGACTGGCCCATTGACTTTTGGTTCATGATTGCGGTTCATTTCTGCCATCTGGACTCCAGTGGATGATGAGATACACTCAGTGTGTGCTAGTGTGGTGGAAGGCCCCAGGACCAAGGACTGGGCTGGACTGCAGCCCTGCCCTCTGCAGCCTTCTGGCTGCAGCAAGCCCCCTGCACCAGCCCAGGGCACCTGGGTGTCTAAGTCACTCTGCACCCCTGTTGCCCCTCTGTCCAATGGGATTGATGACCTTGAGTGAGAATCATGTGGCCCAATGTTTAGTGAGTGCTTAGCCCTTCTACCTGCTGGGTAGTGTCATCTTCAAAGCCCCTTCTTCATAGACCTCATTGCCGTACAACTTGTCTGCTCCCCCTTGCTCTAGATTATGCCCCAGTTTTTAAGTCTCTCTTTTGCTACCTCCTTATAGAGTGAAGTGGTTCCCTGGCTAGAGGACCAATGCTCTTCTCCAGCATCTTCTATGTGGTGCAAGTGTTCTTACCCCTAGGTGGCATAGGGAGCAAGCCCCAGGCAAGAGGTCATGTGCTGCAGAGTCACTCCTCACAGGAAGGCCATCTTGTATTTCCCTTTAGCTTCTGAGTTGGATCAGCGCTCTCCAAAATGCCTATGCCCTCTCCCTTCACCTGCCCCTGAGGCAGCAGAGACAGGACAGGGAGAGTTTGTCCCATGCTCCCATTCTGTAATCCCTTAACTTTACCAGCTGTGCCTGATACCCAAATAGGCTTGTAAATCTTCCCTGTGGGTATGTAGGGACTAGCCATCTATTTTAAAACTTTGTTTTGGCCATTCCACTTTGCATTCAATTAAAGCCAGCTGGGACACTGAGGGTGCTTGAGACACACTTTGTGCTACCCCTTGACATCTCAGTGTAACATTTACTTAACCATATTAATTTGTGATATAAAAATAAACGCAATATACTAGAGAAAATTAAGCTTCAAGACTGTGAGAGGCCATTAAAGAAATGGTAGTCATTCTACTAAAGATTTTATAAGGAAAGAACTTGGACTTGAGTGTTTTAGTTATGTCTGAAAAGCAGGAGCCAAGAGGACTAGATAACTTTGGGAAGTCACATTCCCTGAGACTTCTTCAAGGATTATCCCTAATGTACCAGATCAGCCACCCATTTGTCCTGTGAGCCCTAGCAGTGAGGTGAGCCCCTTCCTACCACCCGCAGCCAGTTCACCCCCTCTTTGTCTCACTGGCCCTCACTCATCTGTGTGTCCTTGATTTCAGAGTGTCATGAACATGATGCATGTGATCAGCATCCCGTACTCGCTGATGAAGGTGAACCCTCTGTCCTGGATTCAGAAGGTCTGCCAGTACAAAGGTGCGTCTCCAGGGTGCCCCTGGGTGCCCCTTCCTCACCACAGCTCCCTTTTTGTTAATATCACTGTGCTGACTTTCCTTCTCCTTCTCTTTTAGCGAAGGTGGCTTGTGTAAAATCCAGGGACATGCACTGGGCATTAGTGGCACACAGGGATCAGAGAGACATCAATCTCTCCTCTCTCCGGATGCTGATTGTGGCCGACGGCGCAAACCCCTGTAAGTGACTATGGGCTGGTCACATGGAAGGCAGGCAGGCAATAGAGGTCCTCGGTTCCCAGTTTCCTTCCTCACACTTGTTCTTTTTCTAGTCTTTACCTCAGTTAAGAAGTCTAAAAATAACCAAGCAACTTCACTCGCTGTAGCCCCGTGATGGCAGAGCAGGGTATGCAGGCATGGTCTCGGGCTGAGCCCTGCTTCTGTAGGCAACTAACTTACTTTTTTAAATCCTTCTCTTACTTTAGGTGTTAAATGGTACATAAATCATCCAATTTTATGGGAACTAAGTGAAGTCATCTCTATGTTAGTTCCTTGGGATATAATAAGTGTTCAATAACTATTAACTATTATTACTTTATCATCTGTAGCAGACTTATTGATCAGGAAATATGTCATTTTTAATGCAGTTTCACTGTCAAATCCTGTAGCAAAAATCACCAAGGTAAAGTAATTAGTAGCTCACAGAGTACTGTTAATATAACTTGAGAAAATATTTCAGTCAGTTGAAATAAAACCCAACTAGCTTATTTTTAAAAGAAGAGTAAAGCAGAGAGTGAAAGAATGTAAGTTTCTGATCACATCTATAAGCCATACAACATATATTTTTGTAAGTTAACACATCATGTCCTTTCTTAAAGAATATATAAAAGTATATTCTCACATAAATTGGAGGAAAAAACAAAAGTGGCATTGCAAACAGATAACTATTAATTTGACAAATGAGTACCTCCCTTTAGAAAAATCACTCCATAGAAGATGAACTATTCAATACACAATTGGATTGTCCATAACTTTACAGACCAGTATATCTTGCATAAAGAGAGGTAACCCTTTATTTGGAAATAGTTTAGTTTAGTGGGTAATTATAATCATTCAAGTTAATGTAGAGGAAAGTTTTCTTCACTTAGTTTAAATATATCCATTTTTTGATACAGAAATACTGAAAATGGATGAACAAGTCTCAGGGATGTTGTATAGTGAAGTTCCCCAGTCAGAAAAAAGTTTCATTTTTTTAACGTATTGAATTGTGTAAGTTGAGAATAGTACATTTTTTCATTGTGCAGAAATGATCAATTGTAGTAAATAATGAAGTAGTCTTTCTATGCTTCTTAACTCCACTTGTGCCTGAATCCTAACCTCAAAGTATTTTATATCATGGGATATTTGTAATCACATTGCTTTCACTGTCTGATTATCATTCCCTCTTTCACTCCAGGGTCTATTTCTTCCTGCGATGCATTTCTCAATGTCTTCCAGAGTAAGGGCCTGCGGCCGGAGGTCATCTGTCCTTGTGCCAGCTCCCCTGAGGCGCTCACTGTGGCCATCCGGAGGTATGGGCTGCATTTTTTTGGTGGGCAGCCTCGGGTGGGTATACTGAAGCAGCCCCCTGGCAACCTAAAATCTAACAGTTGCTCAGTATGAGAGTCAAAAATGCCAGCCTTTCCACATGAGTTCTTCCCTGCATGTACTAGAAAGGACTCTTTCAAATATACTCTAGTTTCTCTAGTTAGAAAAGGATTTCTCTCCAGACTTTTATGTAATCCAAAATCAGTAGAAACCTGTCTGGAGGTACCTTGTGAGGAAACACCTGTCCTTGCAGTTACTCACATTTCCATTTGGTATAAAGGCTTCAGTTTCCTTTGGGGTAGAGTAGGGTAAATGTTGGATAAAGAGAAATTTTGTAGTCACAACTCTGCAGAATACTGCAGTTTAAAAATACTGGTTTTCTGAGCCATTAAGTCACTTGCTGGTGTATTAGGGGCTCCAGTCTGGGGCGAGCAGTGTGGGGACTGGCTCCCTGGTGCTCACAAAGGCCCCGCATGGTTTATGCCCTTGGTTGTAGATAATTCAACCTTCCACCGGCATCAGGGTGGTGTGCTCGGGAGAGGGTCACGGAGTCCCATGCAGGACGAGGGGTGTGAAAAAGCCGATTTTATCATCAGCAGCTCTCAGTTATCCATGTGAATGTGAGAAAGAAGTGTTTACATATTATAGGCATTTGCAGTTATTATTTGAGTTCTTTTTCAGTACCTTTGGGGTCTGTCTCTAATTAGGTTTATTTTTGTCACAAGTGTGCTATGTCACAAGAATGGACAGCAGAGCTTTCCATGCCTAAAGCACATGTGTCCTGCTCCTTATTCAAGTAAAATTAGCCTGACTGCTTGACCAGTAGGTTGAGAGAATTGAAAATCTTTAAAATATCAGAAGCAGCTTTTACTTTTGATTGAACCAGAAATTGGAAGTCTATAACCTAAATCAAATCAGTGAGGAAATATGGCGCTGTTAACCAGAACCCAGCCCTATTAGTTAGAGCGTGGCGTGATCATACCCCTATGGGATTCACCATGAATAGTCTTTGAGTTTGGAGTACAGAACACAGCAGGGCTTAGGTGCAGGTAACTACCACACTCTCTCCAGAATTCAATATTGAAATCTCTAACTTGAACCTAAAAGAAGATGCCAAGGAGACACCCAGGAAGCTTGGTGGGGCCAACAGACTGGAGACTCTTCTTTCCAGGCAATCAGTTCCTTCCACCAAAAGATGGGGGGATATACTCAGTAATTTCTCAGTTTCCTTCCCCTGAGAAATGTCTAAGATTTTACAGTTCTGTGAAACAGCACCACTGCCACAGAAAATTCACAAAATGAATGAATCACACATGTAGAAAATCAGAGTTGTCATCGCATGATTTGTTTGTTGTTTGCTCTTCCTAAAATGTACTCTCTGAGATGCCATTAGTATAAGTGTGGGCTCTGCCAGGCTTGACTGACAGAGGGAGAAGATGTAAGCCAGGCATTTTTAATCATTTCTCTTAAAATTTTTATTGTCTTTTAGAAAAAATTTCTTTTAAAAGATTAGAAATATAGTACCAGAAATAGGCAAATTAAGCAGCTACTACTTATTCAGTATGTCTGGTGTGGCTTGTGAGGCACTGGGGCTTGAACAAAAGTCAGCCAATGGTCAGGCAGACACTGGGGTCTGTAGGGGAGAGTGCCTTGTGAGGGCCTCTGGACACAGCCTGCACTCCTGTTAGCAGCAGGCCTGGTGGCTTCAGACCTCTACCTTCGTCAGTAATCTGCAGCTTCCAACTCCATTCCCTGTGGGTGCAAAACAGTATACTGTGGTCTGAACCACTCAGAAGGTGGAATGAACCATTCTCAGATTGTGTTTATGCTTCTTACAGAGAAATATTTGACACATTTACTGGCCCCACTTTTGCACTGGGTTGGCTTCTCTGCTGACCCCAGTGACATCTGCTTACCCTCCAAGCTTCTCCCCCCGACCACAAACACTGCTGCCACTGTCAACCTCAGAGATCTCATTGGTTGTTTCACAAATAATCTATAGGAAAAAACACAAATCTAGGATAGATGCAGTAGATATAAATACCCAAAGAGCCCTTGCATTCCCCACCCCCCCACTTTGTAGCACATTGCACTGGTGTTGCTAGTTGTTAGTGTGGCTATGGTCAGGTGGTGAGTTTCCATCACAGGTCTTAGGTTCAAAGTTTGTCACCAGGAAGACTCAAGGTCCACCCTTCCGTACACCCCTTGTCTTCATCGCTTTATGTTAGGAGGGTTGCAGACTATGCAGAGAACAAAGCATATGCTGTTATCACCTTCACTGAATTTTTGCCAAATTACCTCATTGTCGAAAGTTCATATGACTTTTGTAAATTCACCTTATTTTTTTCTGAACATTAACAATGTTCAGAATCATTGACAATTAGTGGGCAACAAGTGGAGAGGTTTGTGACTGGGAGAATCAAAGTGTTGGTTTCTAACCCCAAGTCGGTTTCATTAGAAACATTTTATACTCTTTAATAAGTGACATTTCTCAGAAGTGTGAACCTGTACCACATTCTTCTTATAAGAAGAATATATATATACACATACACATACACACAGTGAAGAATATATATACACACACATATACACTGTTGTAAGCCAATATTACCTCAAAAAAAAAAAAAGGCTTTTTAAAAAAATAGCACATCATACCCATGGCATTTTAAAGAATTCGTGTTAGCCATTTGATGACCCAGGTCAAAAGTGTAAAAGTGAGGTGCAGGTCACTCTGAGCTACGGACCACAAAAACAACTCTACTCACTCTCATGTGGCCTGTGGCTATAATAGGTAGCCACAACCATGTAGTCATACCCAGGTTCACCTCTGGTGAGAGGCAGCAACACTGTTCCAGAACCACCACCTCCTGAGGGTGGGCCTGCTGGGCCCGACTCATGTGCTGGGCATCTTCTGTGCTGGCCTTGCCTTGATGAAATTGTGCAGGTCTAAAATGCTACTGCTTAAAGAGAAAACAACCAAAACAAAGAGATACCCTAAATGAGGGGGAGAAAATATTTGCACTCCATACAACTGATCAGAGATTGATTACAAGGATCTACAAAGAGCTCACACAATTCAACACAAACAAACTGTCCAGGCAAAAAATGGGCAGAAGAGCTGAAGAGACATTTTTCCAAAGAGGAAATGCAGATGGACAACAGATATGTGAAAAAATGTTCAACATCACTTATAAAGAGGACCCTCAAGCTACTAAAAATGGAGATACCATATGAGCCAGTCTTTTGGGTAGATCCTAGAAAGCTACCCAAAAGACACAAAAGCATTAATTCGAAAGGAAACCTGCGCTCCTATATTTATTGCAGCACGATTTACAGTAGCTAAGATAGGGAAACAGCCTAAATGCCCAAAAACCAGATAACTGGATTAAAAAGATGTAGTATACATGCACAGTGCAACACTGTTTAGCAGTCAAGATAAACTCAAGCCATTTGCAGCAACATAGATGAGCTGGATGGGATAAGTCAGAAGGAAAAAGAAAAATATCAGATGGTTTCACTTATAGGAGGAATATAGGGGAACCAAACAAGGGATCAGAAAAAAATCAAAACAAAACTAGCAGGCAAAAGATAAATCAGAGACATTCAGGAGGGGAAGGAGAGGGACCAGAACAGGGGAGGAAAGAGCACAAGAAACTATGGTGATGCTTCACGGGTGACTTGGTGGTGGGAATTCTATGGGGATTAAACCTGAGAGGAAAAATGATATTTTAAAAAAATACATATATAAATTTTTAAAAAAGAAATAAATAAAACATTCCTATTTGTTTTGCCTCAAAGCTTCTATGTTGTTTTAGAGCAAGGAACACAAGCCTGCAGATAGTTTGCCCTGCAGATAGTTTGCCCTGCCCATCACCTGCAGATAGTTTGCCCTGCCCATCACCATTTGAAAGAGACATGGTCCAGCAAGGTCTGCAAGACTGAAGTCTGCAAGACTGTCCCTGGCATCTCATGGTTACACTTGGTGATAGTGACACATGGCCCCTTGCATTTTTCTCCTGCTAAAACAAGACGGGGCCATAAAATATATGGGGGGGGGGGCAAGTTTTAATTCTGTTCATGCTTTCTTACTGACTTCGTGATTTTAGCCAAATAAAGATAATTCTGGAAAATATCCCTGTCATATATTTGAAAGAACGGTTTTTCCTTAATTGCTTCATTCTGGGGGCAGACTTACACTTCTAGGGTCTTTCCTCTTCCTGGAATATTACTGCAGGTGGAGCATGACAGAGCCAAGCTCTGCCTCTCCAGGATTCTCCAGCCCTGATGAAATGCTTCATGCTTTGGTTTCAGTTATTCCAGCCACAAGATCTGGTGAAATGGCTGAGAAGGTGACCAGCATTCTGCAGCCCTGTGTGTGTGGTGGCCTAAGACTTACTGAAAGTCTGCTGTGGCCTGTCCCACCTGTAGCAGGCCTAAGGATAAAAGCTCAGGCCTCTTTGGGCAAGCAATAAAGGCAGGGATTAGGAGTTAGCAGTGACTAATAAAAAGGATTCATGCTGGATGGAGCCAAGAAGGCTTTGAAACTATGAGGCTGGGAGGAAACCACCAGTGCAGTAAATGGACTTGGGTATTTTTTCATAAATCTTCCAGTAGCTTCAGTTTAAATTGATATAAAAGGCATTCAGTATTGCACTATGTATAGTGCTCAGACATTCTGCCTGATTTAGTAAGCACTGCCTCCCACCTCTATTTCTAATAACAGTTAAAGGGCACAGGAGAAAAAAATATGATTGTTTCATTTCAGCACTAATCAGTACCAGATATGCACTCTGTACTTTTCACCTTCTTTCTTGGATTGCAAAGTCATAAATGCCAGTGACCAAAATTGAAATAGGATAGTTTTGAAATTGAGAACTAAAGTCCCATCAAAGACTACTGAAATGAAGAAGGAACCCATACGTAATGATAGAAATTGTACTATTCTTTTTTAAAACCGCCCTTTTTTTCTCAGTAGCACTTCAAG